AACTTCCCTATAGGTTTGTTCACAGTCAGTAATCACTGTCTTATATTTTGTTCTTAGAAGAAGGGGCATAAAACAAAAATCAGTCACAAGGCAAGATTATATTATGGGTGAGCTAGCAGAGATGGAGACTATATTGGGGCAAGAAGGAGCAAATGTATAAACATCCTATGCAGATGGAGCTTTCACAGAAGGCTGTTTACTGAAATGATTGAGGAAGGACATATGTATGAAGGAGCCCAGAAAGCCTGTGGCAATGGCATCATTTAAATGAGCACATCAGATAGAGCTAAGGGCAGAATACTCCAAGCAGAGGGAACTGTGGAAAAAGCATAGAGAGCATGCATACATGAAGCAGAGACCAAGGTAGTGGTAGGAGTGGTGAGAGAAGTAGGTCCTTAAGGGTTTCTTATTCACAGGCAGACGAAGAAGAAGAGGAGGAAGAGGAGGAGGAGAATAGGAGAAAAAAAGAGGAGGAGGAGGAGGAGGAGAAGAAGAAGTGCTTTGCTTTTTACTCTTGAGGGCAAGGCCAGGGTTACCCATGAGAGTGGTATTGTCATCACTGAGGCACACAGGAGGATGGTGGCCAGAGAGTAAGGGGATAGTGGGTGATGGCGGGGATAGAGAAAGGGCTAGAAGAGAAAGTCTTGAAGCTTTAGATCCAGGAGACCTGGGACAGTAAGAAAGGCTTCAATTTTCCTCGCCTGTGCTTTTGCTCTGTTGCTAAATCATGAATCTGAGCCAACCCCAAAGGGAACCTGTAGAGTAAATTGAAGTGGGAGGAGGTAAGTGAATAGAACTAAGGAGTAGGATGGATGGAGCCCTGCATCCAGCGTTTACTTGCTAGTGGCTCTTCAAGTGGTCCCCATCACAGCAAGCGGCAGGGTAACCCAGGATGTGTGTCTTAAATCAAGAAAGTGTAGGCCTCAAGAAGGAAATCAGGCTAATGGACACCTGCTGTGGGTTTTGTAGACAACTAAGGTATGTAAGTGGAGGGGAGTCCAATAGTCAGAAACCATGAGTCGACTTCCTGTAAGCCACTAAAATTGGGTTCCCTCTCTCTCTCTCTCTCTCTCTCTCTCTCTCTCTCTCTCTCTCTCTCTCTCTCTTCCCAAAGGGATAGAACTCAGTGCAAGGCCTTGGCCATAGTGATAAATGTCACATAGAAATGAGTCTATCTTCCAGTGAGCCCCTTGGGTTCTGCAAAGAGGGTACTGCTGTGGCGGTTATAAAGATAAGTCATTGCAACGCTCCAAATATCCTATTTTATGAGTAGGAATTCTGGAAAATAGAGAAATTCATGAAGAATAAAATACAAACTCAGGGTCTAATGGTGAGGTTTAGTAGTAAGACATTGACTTAGCATGAATGAGGCCCTAGGTTGAATCCTGCACACACACACACACACACACACACACACACACACACACACACAAAGTCAACAACAAAAAACCCTGAAATTCTGCTACCCAGTGGTAATAATAGCTCCTATTTTTTTTTATTTTAAAAGTGAGAGCTACATTTTACATTTCATTTGATGCTTTGCTCTTAAAATTAACCTAGCCTAGTTTGGCCAGCAAAATGGCTCAGTGAGTAAAGGCTCTTGCTGCTAAACCTAATAACGAGTTCAGTTCCCAGAACCACATGATAGAAAGAGAGAACCAACTCCTGAGCACTGTCCTCTGATATTTGACTCTGTACATATGACTTGGCATACGTGAGAAAACACCTGGTTAGGCATGATGAGTAATAGCACTCACTTAGCTGAGGCAAAGAGATTTTAATTTCAAGACCAGTCTATGGTACAGACTGAGATCCTGTCTCAAAAAAATAAGATAAAATGAGAAAGAGAGAGAGAGTAAAAGAAATAAAGGAGGAAAGAAAGGAAGAGACAATAGAGTGGGGGGAAAACTTTTGTAATAATTTTCAAAGTCATATCCTATTATTTAAAAATATAAACTTAAAGGTTCAATAGCATTCCATTTATAGAGGTAACAACACATTTAATCATTTTCCAGTTGTGGAACCTAATTTCTTTAAAGTTTGACACTTTATTATTAAATTATTATAAACTTCTAGTGGAAGCGTTGGATCCATTTATAATCATTACCACACTATGTTTGCTGATTTATTATTATTATTATTATTATTATTATTATTATTATTATTATTGAGGCAGGGTTTCTCTGTGTAGCCTTGGCTGTCCTAAAACTCACTCTATAGACCAGGCTGGCCTCAAACTAAGATCTGCCTGCCTCTGCCTCCTGAGTGCTGGAAGTAAAGGTGGGTACCACCACCTATTGGCTATTGGTCATTTTATGTTCTTGCTGTTTGATTGTTGCATTCTGATCTCTTATAATACAAAATATAATTGCTTCTCTCTCAAATAATTACAGGTTTTAAGTTCCCATTTTACTCTGCTAATAATTAAATTTTTGAAAAATTATTCATTTCCTTCATCAGCATCATGAATGAAATGTTATCTTTGATATCACCCTTTGTAGTTCAAACTTTTAACACATTAGCATTCCATTTTATATAGTTATAACTGAATAGCACCCAGTGAGTAATATATAAAGCACAGGCATGTGTTCAGCTCATCAATCTGAAGGCTGAACAGTCTGAGAGTATGATGCCTGTATAGGCTACTTTTCCCATTGCTACGACTAATACTTGACAAGGGCAACTTAAGGAAAGAAGATTTTGGCTCACAGTTTTAGGGTACAATGCTTCCTGGCAAAGAAGTAATGGCACAATGCTGCTGTTTTCCCTACTACCACCAAAACTCTCATATCTGTTTGCACACACCCACACACACACACACAGTTGCATGTTCACAATTTATTTATACACATGTATGTTGAGGCCAAGAAGTCAACATTGTGTCTTACTCGATTGCGCTCTACCTTATTATAAAAAAAAATAAAAAACATTTAATTTTATTTTATGTCAAGGAGAGTTTTGTCCACATGTATATCTGTATGTACAAGCCTGGTGCCCATGAAGGCCATAGAGGGTGTTGGATCTCCTGGATCAGGAGTTACTGATAGTTGTTAGCTGTCATTTACGTGCTGGGAGTTGAACCCATATTGTTTGCAAGACCTTTAAGTACTCTTTAACCACTGAGTCTTATCTCTAGCCCTTTTGAGACTGAACTCACCAATTCTGCCAGACTGACTGGCCAGCAAGCCCCAAGGACTTACTGTCTCTGACTCCTTAGTGCTGGGATGGAAAGCATAATCAGTTTTTTTCTGTGGGTGTTGGGTCTTTACATGTATAGGGCAAGCCTTTTACAAACTGAAAGTCTCCCAACCCTTCGTTGCTCTGTTAGTTCAGTCCAGAACCCTAGTCCTTTGAATGTTACCATATTTAAGGTAAGTCCTCCCTTTTCATTTAAATATTCTTGGAAACATCGTCACTGACAGATCCAGAGGTATGTCCCTATGGTGATTCTGAATCTTCTCACCTTAACAATGAAGCTTGCACATCAGAGTCCCAGTATCTGCTCTGCTTTATCCGTGTTGTAACACAACAATGGAAACATAGGAGCTCTGTCTAGAAAACATTTTAATCCAAAGCCACTCCATCTATATGTTCCATGAATTCATTGATCCAGAGCCATCATGACCCCATCATCTTTCACAGGTCCCACCTTAATTCATATTCCAACACATGAAACTTGAGGAATACCTACAAATCACAGCATGCTTTTCCTTCTTGCTCCTTTCCTTACCCTATTCTACATAGCACATCTTTAAGATATAATCTGGGACTCCATATGTGATTATTTTACCATTGGTATCATGTTTCCCTAGTCATGAGTTCCTTTTCTCTTTTACATTATTTGTCCAGTGAAAGCAACAGCATTATTTTTGCCCTTCATTGTTTTGCTTATTGATTTACTATTGATACTTATTTTATAACACAATTTCATACTTGTTTTCTTTCTTCTGATCCCATGCTGCAGCTCATCAACAAGTAGTTGAAGAACAGAAAATAAAAGACTCGATATCTGAGACTGTCTTTCCTCTCAATGGGCAGTCATTTCATTTGCTCAAAATCTGTAGATTTTTTTTCTATTGTTTTCAGATATTTAATTCTATGATGGAGAATGTTTTTGACTGATTTTATTAATTCTTAGGTACCCTGGGCACTTCAAGTATCGCAGAAATATATGTGATGTTCCGTAATCTTACACTATCAGAAATTGTCTTACAAATTTCATTATTGCACACACTTCAACTGTTGTTTCTGTGGTGTTCTATGCCCCTCAGTTCTGATAGAGTAAAGGCTTAAGCTCTATGGCCATGCCTTCTCTCTGTTCTTATGATGTCCACCCCTTGATGCTTTTTTTCTGTGAGCTTAATTTATCATTATGACTGTGCTGTACGTTATCCTCCTGAACTATGTAACTGTGCGTTGGGACAGTGATATGCAAGTGTTCTCTGGGCAGTGCTAAAAATGTTCCCATTCCCCCTTGAGACCAGGCCTTGAGTTTCCACCTGACCTCAAACAGTAGTCAAGTAAGTAGGCCCTGTCACAGAGACAAGCTGACCATGGGACTCACTAGGCCTACTTTGGTTACTGTTTGACATTTTGTGTAAAAGAGAAAAGAGAGATACAGAGACAAAGACAGAGAGACAGAGACAGTGACAGAGACAGAGACATAGAGAAAGAGATTATTTTATAACCTCTGATGCTTGGTCTAGTATTCCAATAGACAGACAGAGGGACAGAAGGGAGAAAAGAAGGATGGATAGATGGATGAATAAATGAATCAAAAAGTGGTCAGAGAGATAGGTGGGCTGATATATGGTGAGAGGAATTGTAGAAGGATGGGTGTGTGAAAGGAGGAAGGAGGGGGGTAGAAGGGTGGCCAGAAGAGGCTGGTTGGGGAAAGGAGGGTGACAGAAGCACAGTTGCAGAGACATGAATCTCATATCTCCTCACTGACCTGATGCTGAGGTCTGGCCTCCCACAGGGAGTTTCCTGGTCCCCTGGTCATGCTCATTGTAGAGGGGATGCTGCTCTTGTACCTGGAGCTGGCTGTGGGGCAGCGCATGCGGCAAGGCAGCATCGGTGCCTGGAGGTGCCCCTACCTCAGTGGTGTCGGTATGTGGGACCCTTCTCAGATCCTCTGACAGAGATTTTGTGGGTTTCTGAGCATCACTGGTATGCATGGGCTGGACCTGTGACTGGATGAACCAACTCCCAAAGAGGGCTACCATGGAGCTCGGGCAGAGAGGGCCCTGGATTCTGGCCCTCACATGGTACCCCATCCCACCCCCAATGAAACTTCCACCTTAGGGCATCTCCACTCTGGACCTCAGCTTGATATTCTCTGACTGGCTGGACATAGCATTCATTTCGTCCCAGCTACCTATCCTCTGGGGATGTACACAAATGCCACCCCCTGCTTAATGTGTGCCTGGTGCTGAACATGGCATGCACGAGTGTGAGGTCATTTCATCTTCACCACACCACTTAGGGGCGTTGGGGCATCATAGTGATACCTGGATGCACAAGCCAAGCATCTATGTGAACATACCAGGTGTGGCCTACTGCACCCTTCCAGAGTGACCTTCAGTCACTGTCCCCAGGCACCTCCATGATGTGATTCTCCTAGTTTGTAAAAGACCAGGATCTAGAGCCATCAGAGTTCATACATGTTCTGTGTACTTTTCATGTCCAAGAAAGGGAAGCAGACAGGAAGCCTGAGCCATTGTTTAGGAATGAGGAAGGGTCCACCTGATGTGACCTCCTGCATCTTTGGAAGAAATATGTCCGGGGTATTAGAACTCATCATCTTCAAACTGCCTCCTCATGATGAAGAGCTATGAAGGCCATCAGAGTGTGCTGAGGCAGCAATGTATGCTGTATATTGGAAAACAGGGGAGGCTGCCTGGCCCCTTGGGCACTGACATGCACTTACTGGCCTGAGTTCCCAGTGGAGTGGGAGGAGTTGCTCTGTAATGCTATTGATACCTGTATAGTCTGCCACATGCAAAGTCAACAACTTACAACTCTTCTGGTTATGTGTGGGATGACAAAGGTTGACAACACTCCCAAGTAAACTCACTTTAGAGCAACCTAATGGCAAACTCTCACTTCTCACAGTGATACCCTCTGTGGGACCTCATAGATCAGACCAGGCTGGGGGTAAGTGTTGTCTGTCTGTCACACTCCTGCCACATGGATGGGGCTGGCTCCAGGAACTCCACCTCCAAAAGGAGCAAGTTCACATCAGGCATGTAGTTGGCCCTTCTCCATAGCTCTGCTGGGTAGTTTTGGGAAAGCTCTGAGCTTTAGTTTGCTCTTTGGAAGGAGGATAATGCTTTTGTGTGAACTAACTGCACACAAAATACTGAGCCCAGGACCTGACACTTAGATGTCAAAAAACCAATACTGATCTACCATCTCAGATGATCAGAGTTGAGGGGTAGTAATTCTCAAGAAGATGTCATAGGTGTAGTATCAGGTCTAATGAAAGCCTAAAGGAAGAGTGTTCTTGTTTGGGGATGTCACCATAGTTGTGTCATTCAAGTCCCACTGGTTAAATTACACACATCTGATCTTCAGCATGGCCCTCTGCTTTGCTCACAGGTGTTGCTAGTGTGGTGGTCTCCTCCTTCCTCTCAATGTACTACAACGTCATCAATGCCTGGGGCTTCTGGTATCTCTTCCATTCCTTCCAGGTAAGCCAACCTCTGGTCAGAGCAAAAGCAAAAAGGGTAGAAAATGCAGGGCCACTCACCAAGTGGGGAGCTGTTAGAGGATGAGAACGCCAGCCTGTGGGAACCCTCTCAGTGATGGGGGAGCGTGATGGGAGCCACAAGCCAAGCAGGGATGACAGAATCTGGATCCACTACTTGTCACAATGTAAGCCAAACTATGCACTGTGTGTGTGTGCGTGCACATGCGTGTGTGTTTGCATGTGCGTACACACATGTGCACACTCATTTCTGAGGAGCAGGTCCACAGCACTCATTGGAATATCTACAGGAATATTTTCAATGACAAGCATTTTAAACAGTGCATTATCTAAATTCTTGTTACTGATATTCTGGAAGGGTCTAGGCTTTGGGGAAAATAAATAAATGCCACAATTCCACACTGAGCGCTGGAATGTTCCTCTTCACCAGTCATATTCTATCCCACCCCACCCCCATCTTCATCCTTTTTACTCTCAGAGACTCTAATCCCACTGCCTCCATATCAGCCTCTTTCCAGATGGAAAAAGAAGAGAAGGACCCAGGAATTACCACTCTAATATCCATGCATTCCATACTTCACAAAAATCCCCCCCCCTTACCTCTGCAGTAAATCCTCTCCCAAGGTCATAGGATAATGACACAGCAGACCTTCACTTGGATGTCTATGGGCCATGCAGGTCCCCGGAACATATAAATCTACACTGGCATGGCCATATACACGACATAAGAGCTTTTGTTCAATCCCACGAGCTACAAGTGACTCTACAGGACTCTACTTTATGGGAGGGTGTCGTCCTTCTTAGCGGGTACCTTTAGCCAAGCAAATGTAAGGACCCTATCTTTACCTTCTGATGCAGATGAAGGGAGAAGAAAACTGAAAATCTCTCAGTTGTTCCATGCCCTAGAGCTTCTTCATGTAGCATGTTCATTGGCAGGAATATTAAAAAACAAAAAATAAAAACAAAAACAAACAAACAAACAAAAAAAAAAACCTGAAGTCAAGCTCATCTCAAGCAAAGGACCCCAGAGGTATCCTCAGATTTGCAGCCAAATATGTGAAACAGTGTGAGTTAGAGTGGCCTCAGCAGAGGGCCCAGAGAATGTCGGCTAGGCAACTGAGCTTAGAGGGCTTCTGTTTCTTAGCTGGGACCTGCTGCTGGTTCCATCAGATACCACAGTGTCTCCCTCCTGTGGCCTGTCCATCCAAATGGGCTCACTGCTCAAGATTCTAACTCAAGTACGTTCACAGCTTTGTTTTTAAATTATTTTTAAAGTTTATCTTATTTATTTTATGTATATGGGTGTTTCACCTGAATGTCTATGTACAACATGCATGCCTGGTGCCTGCAGAGGCCAGGAGAGCGTGTCAAATTCCCTGGGACTAGAGTTACAGAAGGGGAGCCATCCTATAGTTACTGGGACTCTAACCTGGGGAAAAACAGCCAGTACCCTTAACTAGTGAGCCATCTCTCCAGCCCTACAACTGGTTTTGAACAGGGTAGCTACAAGGATCTGGAAAGACTAGGCCAGGAAGCCTCTGATCCACTGTACTCTGTTGTTTCGCGCAAGCCAGGCTAGCCCATATTTTCAGGACAAGGTGTGAAGCCTCCTGTCAAAGATGCTTCCTATCATCCCACCAAGCCCTTGGCCTTTCCCTTGACTCTCTGTTGATTCTCACTTCATTCCAAAGGATCCCCTGCTGTGGTCTGTCTGCCCACTGAATGGTAACCGCACAGGCTACGATGAGGAGTATGAAAAGGCTTCGTCAATGCAGTACTTCTGGTGCAGGAAAACACTCAACATCTCACCATCCATCCAGGAGAATGGAGGAGTGCAGTGGGAGCCAGCACTGTGCCTCATCCTGGCCTGGCTGATGGTGTATCTGTGCATCCTGAGGGGCACTGAGTCAACCAGCAAGTTGTGCTAGGGAGTGTGATGGGACTGAATCTGGTCCATGCTAGAGCTGTCTCTTGCTGTCCAGAGTAGAGGCTCAGTGGGTCAGAAGGCATGGATGGTGTTATTGGCATGTCCCTGTACTAGCTGACAGTGGAGGGTGTCAGAAGTGATTAAAGTTGTAGCACTGAATCTGAAATGACAGGCCCCAGCCAGTTCTCACACTCACCTGTACCAGGTCATTTCATGGAGATATTCAAACACCCTGCTATTCAGTCCTTGCACCTCAAATGCCAGAGCTATTATTCTGTGGAGGGAACCTCAACATCAGACTAGCAAGCCTCTGGGGACTTTATTGTGTAGTTGGATTTGGGGTCCCATTTCAAAGTGCTTTCAGGAAATCAATACTACCCAGAACTGTTGGGTTCTCCCTTGGTTTTTTGTTTTGTTTTGTTTTGTTTTGTTTTGTTTTGTTTTGTTCTGTTGTGTGGTATGGGGTTTTAGTTCTTGTTTTGGCTTTTATTTTTAAAGTGTCTCCTTATGTACTTCAGGCTGGCATGAAACTGGCAGAACGGCCCAAGTTGGCCTCAAACTCAGTGATCCTCCTGACTCAGCCTTCTGAGTGTTGGGATTTTAGGCCACAGATATGCCAAAATACCCAGCAAAGGCCTTTTATTTGCCTAAGCTCGTTCTTTCTGTTGAAATGCCCAGGTTTCCATTCATCCTAGGGCTGGAGTATCTGCTGTATTTCCATCACCCATACCTGTTTCAAGCTGGGGTGAATGCTCCATACTCAGCTATTCAGCAAAGCAAATCCATAGTTGATCACGGTGTCTTATTCTTGTAACAGCCCCTCAGAGTAGATACATGAGGTCACTCCCAAAAGGCTTAGATAGGCAAAGTATTCTTCACAAAATCACAGCCAGGGACTGCACACTCAGGACATAGACCAGATTTACTCCAAGCTCTTCCCATCTTATTGGTGAAATGCAGCATGAATGTTCTCTTCACATCTTTTGTGACTTAGTCATTTACAATTTGTCTTCTTCTGAGAATCCCATGAGACCCCTAGATCTCACTCTTCTGATCACCTGCCTGCCTTCTCCAGTACTGACATGTTTGTTTGCTTTTGTTCTTTCATGAGGCATCAAGCTTAGAACAACCTATGTCATTGAGATATTGCATGACAACACCAATGTTGTGCCTGGCGTGACATTTCACATTGTTTTCTAAGTCCCCATAGTGGCCAGCCCCACATAGTCATCTTAGCCCCACAGCACTTTGCCTCACAGCTGAGCATAAGAATCAGGGTGTTCTTTCTCAGCTGAGCTCAGACCTTGCAGCATCTTCTCTGTCCCAACCTAGACCAAGCATGATCCAAAAGATCTAAGGGCGATGTCTGTACCCTTGAATATTAAAGCAGTCCTTTCCTCTCCAGGCCTCTTATAGTTGTGAAAATAAGTAGAGTCTGGACATTATTCTCCTCTGAAGTTTTACTTAATGGTCAGTGTTATTTCTCCTGATAGGTTAAGCTAAAGCTAGATCACATGTCCAGCCATCCTTCCCACAAGAAAAAGAAGGAAGCCACTTTGTGAGGACTCTAGAAAGCCCATAAGAAACACGGACCACTGGCGGGGTAGGGGGGGAAGTCCAGAGCTTTCCCCAAATGTCTTCTAAGTGCCCAGTGTTATGGACCGGGATCAGACCTCCACCATGCCCCTGAATTTCTTTCACATCACTGGCAAAAAGACTCTTATCCATTTGCATCTCACCTGGTTTGACATATTAGATATTTGGGTAAATTCACTAACCCCCTAAATGTGTAAGCAGCCATGGTAAACATATATCCCACTTTCTCAGTGTCCTTCTGACAGTCTTAGAAGTTCATGAAGTATGGTGCCATGCCAAGGACGAAATGGAAGTCTGAGATTAATTCAAGCATATCAAGATATGGGTTACTAGCTGGGTTTCTCAGAGGTGGATCCAACCTAAAAGAAGATTGATAAAACAAAACCAACCTTGTGAAAAGTTTTGTTTCGTTTTGTTTTTGTCTATGAATCTAGGCAAAATCCCTTATAGTTTTATGCCCATGATACATTGTTTTTAAATTTTATTTATTAACATAATATCCGTGCATGCTTATGAAGGGCCTGATGCTTTGATACAAGTATGAAACACATAGCAGCTAGACCAATGCCACTAACATTTCCTTCTCCTCATACATGAATTATATATACATTTTTTTACTCTTCTAGTTATTTTTATGTATCATGGATTCTTGTAGATTAGAGTTACCTATAGTGCTGGGCAAAGAAGCAATGATTTCTGCTTCTAATTCCTGTATTTTGGTTACTCTTGTCTAACCTCTGTCTTCCCTTGCTGCCTTTCCCATCTTCTTGGAGGTTCATTTACCACTTTCTACAAATGAGTGCAAAAAATGCATTATTTGTCTATGATTTGTTTTATTTACCATGATGCCTGAACTTGTCTATACCTTTACATGTGACAAGATTTCATTCTTTTTATGGCTAAGTAGTATTCCTTTGTGGATACATACCATGTGATTTCTATATGTTCACTTTCCATGGATGGTTTTATATCCTAGATTTTTTTTAAAGGAATATCACAGTAAAAATGAGAGTGCTGCTATATCCTTGACACATGGCTTTTAAGATCCCTTTGCAATAATATCTAATTGTGGTTTTTATTTGTATTCCCTTGAAGATTAATGATGCTGAATTTTTGTTCATATATTTGCTGGCTATTTGTGTCTTAACTTTTTAGATGTATTTATTTTATTTGACACATATGAGTATTTTGCTTGCATGTGTATGTGTATGCCACATGTATGTCTGACACTCGCAGGGATAAGAAGAGGGCTATGACAGTGGTTATGAGTTGCCAGGTGGGTGCTGGAAACTGAACCCAGGTCCTCTGCAGGAACAGCAGGCGCTCTTAACCACTGAGCCAACCCTAAAGTCCCCTCATGTCTTTTTAAATAAATGTCTATGTAGCCCATTTCTTTGCCCATTTTTTAAGGTGGACTCTTTGCTCTCCAGTTGTTTGAGCTCTGAATAAAAAGAATTAAGGGAATGAGAGGTATTGGCAATAAAACTGTGAAAATATTAATGAAAGATGTCAAGATGACTCCAGGAAAGGAAAGATACTCTATGGAGCAGAAGATGTCCTAGTTAATTTTCTGTTCCTGTGAAGAGACACTATGTTCTATGTACTCTGTACTCTGTACTATGTACTATGTACTCTGTACTATGCTTATCAAAAAGAAGAATTTAATTGAGACTTTGCTTACAGTTTCTTTGAGTCTATGATTGTGGCAGGAAGTGTGGCAGCAGGCAGGCAGGAAGAATGCCTGCTTATATCTAATCCACAGGCAAGAGGCAGAGGGAGGGGAAGGGTGAATGGAGAAGGAGGAGGAGGTAGGAGATGGGAGAAGAAAGAGAGAGATTGGGTTCAACCTGGGCTCCCTCAGTGGCATACGCACTCCCTTCAACAAGGCCACTTCTCCTAACCTTCTAAAATAGTTCTACCCACTGTGAACCAAGGGCTCAAATATATGAGCCTGTGGGGGCCATTCTCATTCAAACCATCACAGAGCTGGTATTATTATTATTATTATTATTATTATTATTATTATAAAGTGTACATACTACCCAAGACAGTTTACAGATCCAGTTCAATCCTTACCAATAATAATATTCATAGAATCAGAAAAAAAATCTTAAAATCTACATGACACTATTGAATAAAAGAACGAAACTGAAGTCATATTAATACCTGATTTTAAGTCTGTCTACAATGTGTCTGGTATTGGCTTGAGAAAAGACAAGGAGACAAGTAGAACATAGTAGAGTACCTGGAAAACCACATATTTCTGTCAAAGACACCACGAGAATACATTGGAAAGCCATCAAATCAATTGCTGATGCTAGATCCACATCTCACATGCTGTACAAAAGTCCAAAGTATGAAAAGTCTAAGGCGAAACACTTGAAGACTTAGATTTTTGTGTACCTATGTTTTGGGATAAGACCCGAAAACTTGCAACAAAGTAAAAACCAGTAGGATTACATCAAAGAAAGAACTTTCTGTGCAATAAAAGAAATAGTCAATATCATGAAGAAAATATTTAGGAACTCACACACACATTCACAGAGTAAGGGGGAGACTTAAATAAATAATATTGTTTTGTTAGCAGTTTTACTAAGTAATGACAATTTTAAAATAGTAAATACATAAAAACCAAATTTAATTATGGCATTTTAATACATAAGTATCATTGCTCCTTATTCTTATTCACCCTCTCTCTATCCTCCCTCTTTACCCCTTCTTTCTGGTATAATTTAGAGGGAAAATACATGTTTGAGGTGTAAGAATAGAGGAATTACTATAAAAGTGCAAAAAGAATAGTCATAAAAAGCTGCTCAAGTACGATGATTGTGGTTGATACATTGTTTATGAACTAATAAAGCAATGAAGATCAGAGAAGCAAAGCATCTAGGCTACCAGAGAGCTCGGTCCTGTACCAGGGCTGGAGAGATATTATCCATAGCAAGCTGGAGACAAATTGCCAAGACTAAATCCTTAATGCCCTGCTCCTATCTTATATATTAGTGCTGGGGTTTAAAGCTGTGAGCTCTGTTTCTCTTTTAGACTGATTCACTTCTCATGTAGCCCTGGATGGCCTTGTAAATCTAACATTAAGTATTTTTGGTTTTTATGTTTTCTTACTCTCTGTTGTTGACTGTGGCCTTCTCTTGTGGCTCACCTTTTAGTTAAACTCTGTAGGGATATGGAAGAGTGTTATCTCTCCCTCCGTCTTTGTTCCAGGGGATTGGGTTTTGATTTAGGAACATGCTTTCTCTCATTCACCTAACTCTGTCAGATAATTTCCTTTGTGAATGTCTTTGCATATCTTCTGTTACATTGCTATTGTAAATAGTGTCTTTCTCCTTATTTCTACGGTTGTTTATGTTGGTGGCAGAAGAAACAAACATTTTTTTATG